TTTTGCTTTTGTACTCACTGGCTCAATCTTGTGATGGAGAACAGTGTGAACATGTTTGGGAAGAGTGAGTCCCCGAGATCACCGACTAGGCTGCAGAGGAAAGCACCCACGGCTCTGCATCTTGACCATGTTCCCGAGAATCCCCTTTTGCAGCAGTCTTGTGATGCGACTGCAACCGCAGCTATTCCTCTGCTTTCACCTCTCTTTGTGTCTCCAAACCTGCACTCTTCTCTCCCGCGAGAAGAGGGCGATCTGAAGTGTCGGGCGGGTTTTACTCAGAAGAACGAATCTCAACCGTCAATGGACCACAAGGAAGAGTGGCAATATTCTGCTAAGGCCGACCATAGCAACCAGATGGCTCTCATGAATATGTTTCAGACCAAGTTAATGCTTGTAGATAATTCACAATGATGATTTTAGCATGTAGGATGGTATTTGATGTATCAGAATCCAAATGTTTTTCAATAGTCTTGTAAACCCATTCCTCAATATGCTGTAATAAGAGATAGCTAGATATATTGTAAGCTAGATACGGCTTTTTGGGAAGTTGCCAATGTGTGAAAGACTGATAGAAATTAATGAAACAAGTCAAAGTTGTTACGCACTTCTTCGAGATCGGAAAAATCTGTTCCTTTTGTACAACAAGCCTACCAGAGTACACTTTCCCATAAATAATCATGTCGGTCTCAGAGGTTGGTCTGATACATAAAGTAAAACAAAGACAGTGGACATTGAAGGACTGTGGCTTCTCTAGAAGCATTGCTATTGTCATGATCAGAAGTCGAACTCGCCTGTTGCCTGAATAAATGTAGACAAAGCATGTGTCAGTATTATCGTTACCAGAATAGCTCCAAGCTTAATTTGGAGACACAGATTACTTTGTTGAAGAGAATGTCCTTATCGTTTATATGCATGATCCCATCTTTCAGGTTGCACTTCCACCTGCTCTTTGTGCGAGTAACCTAATTACAACAACAAATCAGTCTTGCTGTGATTAAAGTTACATGCAGTGAACACACACATATAAGCAGGAGCCATTACCTTGTCAAATTGAGCCAAAACCAGATGTTGTGTGTTCATATCTTCACCACTTTCTAAGTCATCCAAT